CTTCCCCCTCTCCTTAATGTGGACGCTTTATGCTTTCTAGCTGAAAATTATTTTTAATTCCCATTCTGATTATTCTTTAAAAAAAACCTCAATAGTCTTGTTTTCATTTATTACAAGAAAGGGTAATAAATAACGAAGGAAGGGTTCTATTTATCCTTCTGCCTATTCCAATGAAGCATATGAAGCGGAATAGAGCAGGTAGTGTCTGAATTAACAAATAAATTAAATTTAAGCTATAATCAGATGAACAGGATTCATGGCTGAATAGTCCTGGAGGATGCTGTGTAAGTAGTGTACCTTAGGCGGTCATTCTAGTAATCATCAGAAATTTTTCTGCTCCCGGCAGCTGTGGATAGTTATTTAGGGCTAAGGATTAACTTTAATTAGAGTGGATGCCAGCTTCTAAAAGGCCAGGATCCAAGTATGTATTTATAACTTTTGTATTTGGTGGTGTCATGAGAACTACAGAGCCAGGCTGGAGAGATGAAATCAGCAGCTGTGTTCCTGTAGGGTGACTGGGTACTATAGGGCATGCAACTGGAGGAGAAGCAAGGTGGGGCGTGGTGGGCTTGGAGGTTGTGCACGTTGGTTCATTCCAGCTCAGGAATTATCTTGCAGCTGAAAAATGTGTGAAGGGCTTCTGAAGCTTACCCAAGCTGTTCGATATTTCAGTATAGCATAAAGTACAAAGCAGTGTGATTCTTGAATCTTTAAACGTTTTACAAATATGTATTTATTCATCCTGGGGAAAAAAAAAAAAAGGTGGTGGTAGTTAATTATTAGCTGTGTCTTCTAAATGTTAGAGGAACTTGTGGGCCACCCAAAGCACTGATATTAAGGAAGATCTGGATTTCAGGAGTTCTTGTCAAAAACCACACCCTTCTCCATAACTGATAAAGTTGGCAACCTCAGTATTAGGAGCAACCTTGGAAAAACAGCTGACTTATGAGTTGCCTAAATGTTAACATTCTTATCTCTGGATAGCTGCTGGCTCAAGGCAGCCATGAAAGGTTCAAATATAATTACGGCTTTTCATAATTCTGAAGAGCATTTTGCTCATAATGACCATGTCTGTTAAATACTATATTCTTTTTGGATACAGTAAGCTATAACTTTACATACAGAAAGCAGGTTAAGAAATTTGCAAGGGGTATTGGCTCTAAGCACAATAGCTTCTGTCAGAGATTTTTCACTTGATTTAAAATGCAAATCTTGGATTGGATTTTATAAGGTAAAGATAGCTAAGCAAAATAAACTTAGACCATTCCGACCAGTTTGCTCTGTCTGCACTTCCTGGAAGATCTTATTACTTAGGTAATTATAACAAAGAAGGTTGCAATATCTTTATCTGTGGGCTGGGCTCTAAATTATATGAGCATGTGGCTCAGAAAGGATGATTATAATTTTGACTTATATCTACTTAACTGTAAAACTGTGGCTATTAATAGTGAACAATTTCTACTGATCAGGTAAAAAAGTAAATTCTTTTCTTCTTGGGGACCTGAAAAGGTAAGTAGATTGGTTCTTGTATTTTGCTGATACATTAATCTAATAAATCCTGAAGGTTAGAATGTGCTGATATTAAAGCTTGTACTGGAGCATTAAATCTTGTTAGTGGTAGGTTTTTTTAATGTTTACCAAAGCTGAAAAAAACTTTTCAAAATATATGTATTTTTTTTTTTTAATAGAGGTAGATAAGTCATAGTGTTCTGCATCTGTTAATGTCATTCAGGAATGAAAACTGTTAAAATAATTGCAATTAAAATACCAGCACATAGATCCTGTTTGAGGCACTTGGCATGCCATGGGATTGATACATGTGTCTTCTTATTTAATAATAATAAAAAAAGAATCCACAATTGTAGATATTTCTATAGAACTAGATCAGAAATAATAACTAAAAGCATATGAGAGCTGCAAGCTATTTTCATAATACTACTCGGAACAGTACACTCTGAGAAGGGAGTGTCTGGGAAAGTAAGATTTGCCTGAAGCACAAGCAACAGGTCTGTCTAGAAAAAGATGTCAAACAAGTAATATTACATTATCGCTCTGGAGCAAAGAACATAGCATTTATTAATAAATCTTTGTTTGATAAGCAGGTTTTACTCTAGCTTAATGCAGTCAAGCAACAAATACACTGTGATACAGGTGAGAAAATGGGCAGTGTGTGGAGGCTGACAGGAGATAAAAGACGCAGTTCTGGTGGTATTTTTTCGGCAAAACTTTGTTTTGTGCCTAGTACTTGATTGAAGGGGTTTTTATTAGTAAAATTTCAATTTTGCAATGTAATCTGTCATCATTTTCTGCACCTTTTTCAATACTGATGGTGAAATACTGTATTTGATGTTTAGAAGAGATGGTAGTTCTGGATTCCTTGTTGACAAGTGTGTGATGCTTTAGCTGCCTTAAGCATACAGAGTGGTAGCTTACTGCACAAGTAAGAGCCTGCTGTGTAATGCAGCCATAGAAACTGTGCAATTTTTAGTATTTTCCACTTTTTTTCTCCCTTCTAATTTCAAGCCAGTCTGCTGTCCTGATTTACCAATACAAGTGGTGGCCATAGATTTCTGGGGGAGCGGCTGGTGGCCGTGTTTGCCACAGGAGCAAACCAGCCTATGTGCACCTCTGGCAGCTGCTTACTGTAGGTGGGTTTCTTTTCACTGAGGTGGTTATGACCAATGTTGTGATTTCTTAGAACTAGGGAAAATATTACAAAGAAGGAAGTTTGTTGCAGTTGAGAATCAGGTATCTCTCAAATATTTAGTGAAACTACTAAGCTACTGGCAGGCGAATGTGACAACAGAAGATGGAAATCTACCAAATCCAACAAATTGAAGGAACAGAATTGGAGGGAGTGTCTGTAAACTTCACATGTGTAAGCATTCTGAAATTTTAATTTTATATCAATTTGACTTAATGACTTTCCAGATTATTCTGAGCATTGTTTGTGTAATACCATTAAATAAAATATTTGGATCAGATGCATTTTGGTAAAATTCAGTACATTTAACATTGTCCATGTTAAATTATTATTTTGACAAAAATAGAGAGACTAAAACCAACCATTCATTTAAATTATCTCTGCCTTGGGTGATGCTAAAGATTTTTCTTCTGCTTTCTAATAAGGCATTCTTGTAATGCTCTTCAGATCAATTTGATCTGAAGTTAAATAGTGGCTTACCCACTACCACAAGTATAAATGGCAGACCTCAGATTAGAACATAGTAGTTTCTGACTGTTATTCCTACGGCTGTCCCTCTGGGTAGTGGTGTTACATACATTGACTAGAATGGACATAGGACGCACACCTTGCACAGAGCTCGCTCGCTGCTGGTGAAATATACAAAATGGAGAAAAGCCTGCATCTCAGAGTTCTTAGTTTGTAAAAGAAGCAAATAATTTTGACTTGTTAGTAGAACTTTTCAGTTGCACTGGGCTTATTACTAAGATTGAACATTTCTTACAGTGCAGTAATTTGGAGTCAGCCTTGAGTATACTTTTAGGGATTTTATTTTTTTTTCTCATGGTCCCCCTGAAACAATGTGTAAACTTTTATTTTAAAGCTGACTTTATGCTCTGACTGCTGATTCTATGTTCTAGTGTTTAGGCAGGCTCCAACTGAGAGAATGTGTATGTGGTTTAGCTACCAATCATGCTGTTGGTCCTTGTGGCCAGTGTCTGAATTGTCATTGGATGAACACAAAAATATTTTCATCTATGTGAATTGCCATTACAGATTATTGTAATATTTGTTTAAATTCAAAGTAATTGAATTCTTATCATAGGCAATCACACGATAAATACAGATTAGTGCCATTTCAGTGGCATTGGAATAATTGGCCCCATAAACATATGACCATGGCCTATATGCTTACCTACAACCTGTGTTATTTGAAGGCTATCTTTAGCCATTGTCAGATAGGGGTCTTTGTGGTGCTTAGAAAGCTGTCAAAATCTAACCCTTTTGAATCACAGTTTTTAAATTTTCCATATCAGAAGATTGAATGTCAAAAGACTGAATTGCAGCCTTCATGGAAGAGAAATCATAATTCTGTGACCCTTTAAAGGCTTTGTCAGTGTTCCATGTGTTAGAGCACTGCAGAAATCATGCATAAATACAATCCCTGTTCATCTCTGCGTGGGCACTGGTTTCATACTTCAGTGATGAAGTGATGTGCAAAAGGGCCTTATTTAAGGGAGCATTTTCTCACTGGCAGTGAAATAGATAGCCTAAATTATTTTCCCCTTTGAAATGTCATCTGTTGACAACAGTGACTGTTACTTGACTAAGAGTCCAGCAACACCAACTAACAAGTAGCAGCTAATTTTGGAAGATTTTCTTTGCAATCCCTAATGTCAGATGGAAACATGAGTGTCTTTAATCCTTCTTTAAAGGGGCAACAGTAACTTCAGAAACTTCATACTTGGGGCATTTTCATTATTGGAACGAAGAACTGTATTTTCAGTGTAATGAAAGAAGTGATACGAAGATTGAATGAGGTTATAGAAAGGAGAAGTAAAAATAATTTCTGCGTTGTCTTTACTCTTCAGACAGCTATCAAAAAGCAGAGCTGCTACAGAGTTCTGCTTATAGGTTAAGCATGTTTTCCACCGTGTGGTCATTCCTGCGTTGAAACCTAGTCAGTCCTTTTCTCACACAGTTCAAAAGGTTGAAATGTACACAACTTAGAATCTAGGAAATCATTGTTAAGGATGAGACATTGGGGAATCTGTAGCTTCCAGTATTTGAGATTGGTTTTATATCCATCTGCATTTCCTTGTTACAGTAAAATCACTTAAAAAGAAAAAAAATCCAGAATGAATGAAACCCTTATAAATCCCAGTTCATGGGAACAAGTTTTTTACTTTCCGTATTACTGTATTTTTGGCTGTGTTTTTGCTAAAGTGGACTTTTGCTTGTGTGGCTTACTTTATAATGTAACAGTGACAGGTCTGGTTTAGTGTCATACCCATGGTTTCATCTGTCTTTTCAGACCTTTACTCTTTCTACTGAAGAAATCACAGATGATGGCTTCTGACGCTAGTCATATGCTGGAAGCAGCTTTGGAGCAGATGGATGACATCATTGCAGGTATAATAATGCTTTATTTTACACCAAACTGTCCAGAGATTTAGCTATGTTTGTGCTTTTCCCTCCTGCAATTTTCCTGTTTACTTTTTAATTATCATTCTCAATTTGCCAAGTTCTCTGGAACACGCAGATTTCTCTGGTTGAACAGTTGAATGAAGAAAACGTAAAGTAAAATAAGGGAAGAAAACATGCAATTCCACCTCAGACATGTGACTATTGACTTTGCTCTAATGCTCTAACTTAAATACCTTCTGATTCACATTCCATATTGCATGAGTTAGTTATTTCAGCGTGCTTTGAAAATAGTTTTCAGTTAGCTAGATAGTATATATCTATATTTTACACAAACACATATAGATATACAAAAATATGTATATATACACAAATGTGTATATATAATCATATAATTTTATTATGTATGTATTAAAAATAGCTTAGCAATTAATTACTGTCAAAAAATATGTATATATATAAAATATACAAAAATGTGTATATATAATCATATAACTTTGCTTATTATGTATGTATTTAAAATAGCTTAGCAATTAATTACCGTCACGGCCTGATGAGTTAGAGTGTGTATCTTCATGTTAAAATTTATATTCTGGAATGATGCTATGAATTTCTTTTCTACACAGCTGTCCATGAGACAGGCATATTATGCAAGACAGAATTTGTTGTCTTTTGATGCTGTCATAGTAAGGCAATTAAAAATTTTTCTCTCAACATTACAGCCTCCAAGAAGAGAAGTTGATTTCTCTGGTTAGGACTCGTACCTTTGGGGTTTGTGCTCACACACTATACAGTATGAGCTTCTAAAAGAAGTATCTGGGTAGGGCAATGATCTCGCTTGTGCACAATGGGAAAGCATTCACTACAGCTTTATAAATTTAAATAGTGACACCCATGCTGTGCCTTCAGATTTTTTTTACGTAATGATGAAGATGATGACATCAGCCAAAGTTTTTGCTGCAGTTCTGTTTATTCCTGCTCTTTTAGTAAAGCTTTCTATCCGGAGATTAATACAGAGCTTCAAATATAACTATTAGACTAACCATGCTTAGGCAGGAAGTCTTATTCAGGATTTTTAGTTTAAAGGATCTCTAGATATTTTGTTTCTCATTCACATATGGGTCTTCACTTTATTCCAAAAGTGTAAGCTTTAAGAGTCTGCTAAGATACACAAAAGTGTAAATGTGAATATATGATGGGTATAACTCCACAAATAAGTTTTCACACCAACGGAACAAGTTCTAGGCTATTAGGAACATTTAGATGTATATTTCCTTCTCCCTTCTTTTTTTGAATGCAAAACCTTATTCAAACAAGATTTTAACCTCTTGCAAAACACGCAAACAGTCACTGGAATATCTCTCAGATATGTAAAGAGAGAACAAGAACAGCGAGTCTCAAACCATAATTCGTAAACTAGGGATCCAAAATAATTTCTTAGCCATTGCAAACCTTGGGTTATGATTGTGTTGAGTGCTATAAAAGAACCAGAGGAACATAGAAGCCCCTGTCCCTTTAATTATGCTGTGGAACATGTGCTCATAAACCACCTGCATACATCCAGAAATTTTAACTCGGTCTCTCTTGTCCCACACGACATCCCTGTCTCTAAATTGGAGAGACATCAATTTCATGGATGGACCACTTGGTGGATAAAGAACTGGCTGGATGGCCACACACAGAGAGTTGTGGTCAATGGCTCAATGTCCAGCTGGAGACCAGTAACGAGTGGTGTCCCTCAGGGATCAGTGTTGGGACCAGTCTTGTTTACCATCTTCGTCGCTGACATGGACAGTGGGATTGAGTGCGCCCTCAGCAAGTTTGCTGATGACACCAAGCTGTGTGATTCGGCTGATACCCTGGAGGGAAGGAATGCCATCCAGAGGGACCTTGACACACATGTGAAGTGGGCTGATGCCAACCTCATGTAGTTTAACCATGCCAAGTGCAAGGTCCTACACCTGGGTCAGAGCAATCCCAGGCACAGCTACAGGTTGGGCAGAGAAGAGATTCAGAGCAGCCCTGTGGAGAAGGACTTGGGGGTGTTGGTTGATGAGAAAATGAACATGAGCCGGCTTCAGTGTGCGCTCGCAGCCCAGAAAGCCAACCCTATCGTGGGCTGCATCAAAAGGAGTGTGACCAGCAGGTCGAAGGAGGTGATCCTGCCCCTTTACTCTGCTCTTGTGAGACCTCAATTGGAGTATTGTGTGCAGTTCTGGTGTCCTCAACATAAAAAGGACATGGAACTGTTGGAACAAGTGCAGAGGAGGGCCACAAGGATAATCAGGGGACTGGAGCACCTCCTGTGTGAAGACAGGCTGAGGAAGTTGGGGCTGTTCAGCCTGGAGAAGGGAAGGCTGCGTGGAGACCTCATAGCAGCCTTCCAGTATCTGAAGGGGGCCTATAGGGATGCTGGAGAGAGACTCTTCATTAGGGACTGTAGTGATAGGACAAGGGGTAATGGGTTCAAACTTAAACAGAGGAAGTTTAGATTGGATATAAGCAAGAAATTCTTTCCTGTTAGGGTGGTGAGGCACTGGAATGTGTTGCCCAGGGAGGTTGTGAATGCTCCATCCCTGGCAGTGTTCAAGACCAGGTTGGACGAGGCCTTGGGTGATATGGTTAAGTGTGAGGTGTCCCTGCCCATGGCAGGGGGGTTGGAACTTGATGATCCTAAGGTCCTTTCCAACCCTAACTATTCTATGGTTCTGTGTATAGCCCAGCACACATTGGTGATACCAGGATGCACTGATGATTCAATTCTTCAGCAAAATCAAGAGAGGGAAAAAGTAGACATGTTCTATTTAAATTGATTTTTCGGTTAGACATTTATTTTCTTCCAGGAGTCGTCAGAGCTTTGTGGTATGCTTTCATTTGAAGGAAAGGTTTAGAAAACTTGGAATGATTTTGAGGGGCTGGGGTGATTCCATGGGATTTTGAGGGGCTGATGAAATTCCATGGGATTTCGTCTGCTTCAGTCTTTTCTGTTATTCATGCTTCCAACATAACTCAAATTGTCCAGTGTCTCCTCTAATGAACATAAAACACCACGTATTCACCGAATAGGTCTGTTGCCTTGTTTCTCTGAGCAGTGCTATGTTTTGTTTAGGAGAAAAAAAAAAAACCATGAAAGTTTTACTTGATAGTGCCATTTCATATTCCCTTCAATAAAGTTTTGTAGACTTACAGGCTCAGGTTTTCCACTGAGAGGATAACGTTGCTACTTAGCAGTATTTCCATGAATGTAAGCTCTGAAATATGTTTGTTGTGAGGCTCATTCTGGGTAAGACAATAGGTGTTTAGTGTTGAGTACTTTTTCCATGGTATGGAAAGATAGCCTTGTGATATTTGGCATAACTGATTAAATGTCAGTATATGACTATCTAAAAAAAGTCATATATTTCTTCTAGTTTCATGCCAGAAGAATAGCTCGGGTCAGAAGCCGGGTTTGATGTTGTGTTTTTAATATTGTTCTCCTTTTCCCCACATCTTTTTCAGATTGTTTGTGCCCAACATCTTAGGGTTAATCTTGATAAATAAAGAATAGAATTAAGTTGCCTCAGGCTTCCAAAAAGCATTGCTTTTACACCCCCCCCCCCCTTTGTTGCCCATGATGGTGGAAACAGTGATACAGAGAAGTGAAGCAAATAATGGAAGAAATGTTCTGTGTGAATTGGCAGATTACGCTTCCCATTCACAGCTGTTTCGTAGTGGCATTGGTGTCCATGCTCTAAAACAAAAAGATTCAAGCATGCTAGATGTATGTAGAGTTTGTTTCCACAGTGCATGGATAAGTCATGAGCAAACTGGTAACCTCTTCTAGACAGCTGACTTTATGACTTCACATTACTTATATTTTTAGTCGAATGTCCACTGGTATTCAGTATGATATGGAAAACAGGCTTATATAAAGATATCTAATGGGAGAAGAACCAAGGTATTTTCCAGACAATGCATCTGTCAAGTCACATCAATGTTAACTGAATACTTCTGTATGATTTTAGAATTATATCTACCTGTACCAATAAAAAATCAAATTGTTTTATTCTTTTACTTATTTTTAGTTATAAAGCAAAAGTTCAATTTGTTGGGAAGGTTGTTTACCTTATTTATTATTTTCCAGTACTAGAAATAGATAAGACATTTTAATGCATGTTGCGTTCGGTTGATACGCTGAAGGCAAGGGATGCCATCCAGAGGGACCTTGACACACTTGAGAGGTGGGCCAATGCCAGCCTCATGAAGTTCAACAAAACAAAGTGCAAGGTCCTACACTTAGGTCAGGAATCTCAGGCACAGCTACAGGTTGGGTGGAGAAGTGATTAGAGCAACCCTGAGGAGAAGGGCTTGGGGGTGTTGGTCAATGAGAAACTGAACATGAGCTGACTTCAGTGTGCTCTTGCAGCCCAGAAAGCCAACTCTATCCTGGGCTGCATCAAAAGGAGTGTGACCAGCAGGTCAAAGGAAGTGATCCTGCCCTTCTGCTCTCGTAAGACCCCACTTGGCGTATTGTGTGCAGTTCTGGTGTCTTCAGCGTAAGGAGGACATGAGCAAGTCCAGAGGAAGGCCATGAGGACGATAAGTGGGCTGGAGCACCTCCCAGGCTCCAGCCATATGAAGACAGGCTGAGAGAGCTGGGGCTGTTCAGCCTGGAGAAGGCTGCGTGAAGACCTCATAGCAGCCTTTCCATATCTTAAAGGGGCCTACAAGGATGCTGGAGAGGGACTCTTCGTCAGGGACTGTAGCGATAGAACAAGCGGTAGCAGGTTTAAACTTAAGCAGGGGAAGTTTGGGTTAGATATAACAAGTTATGTACTGTGGGGTGATGATGCACTGGAACAGGTTTCCCAAGGAAGTGGTAAATGCTCCATGCCTGGCAGTGTTCGAGATCAGGTTGGAAAGAATCTTGGACAACATGGTCTAGTGTGAGGTGTCCCTGTCCATGGTAGGGTGGGGTTGGAACTAGATGATCTTAAGGTCCTTTCCAA